TCCCTACAGATACATAATTCCTCCATGTCAACAACCACAGTACAAGTAATTAACATTTTTTTATCCCCAATCCCCTGAGGGTAAAATTATGTCAGTGAAAGATTAGCAGTGTAGTAATGTAAAAATATGTTCTCTAAATTCACGATTGATTTTTTAACACACCATACTGTGCCTATTATTTTTTGCACATTAGCATATGATTGGTTATTAAAGTATGGGTCTTCATAAAGACCCTTTCATCACTTTCTCCGTCACTAGCCAGAGCTTTTCCCGTGTACAGTAACTGTGTGCAAGTTGGTTATTATAGTGGGTTCATTTTGCATTACATTGGACCAGGCATTCAGTAAACTGTTTTTCATTTTTAGCACATGAATGTGTCCCTCTGCACAAGCTGTAGTTAAAGGCAACATTTATGAGGTAGTAACAGTCCCTGCTAGCTGCGGTGTTGTTGCTGAAATTAAATGGGGCATTACTTGTTGGTTTTGGCTTCTGTTGAACTAGAGTGTTCTGTAAATGTTTATGGACTCTGTGCTCAGTAAATGTATTAGAATACATGGTGATGGATGCAACAGTGTCGGTTCAATGTAATTGTGAAGTACGTGCTCAAACTATGCTGCTAGCACTTCACCATGTGAGATGTTACATGGCCAAATATGGGTACGTTGTAAATACCTAGAATTATATAAAGAGGTGTATGTTGCTTTATTGTTATGTAGGATGTTTATTCTTAAAAAAAAAAATCAAAACCACAAAAAGAAAAACGTGATTCTCATCAGAGTATCAGTTAGTACTTAATTGTATTTATTTTTCAAATTATATTTTGTTTCTTTAAAAAGTGCTGCGGGACTTTTATGGTGTAAAACAATCTTGTTATCTGTATTAGTGTCCTTTGAATGAACCTTTTACTGATCCTGTAATTTATTATGGTCTCAGTCATGGACTTGTGAAAAGATTTTTTTTTTGTAAAATTACATTTTATTTATACATAGAATCATAGAATTATAGAATGGTTTGGGTTGGAAGGGACCTTAGAGATCATCTAGTTCCAACCCCCCTGCCATGGACAGGGACACCTCCCACTAGACCAGGTTGGACCACATATAGATGTGTAATTACATACACATATATATACAGGTATATATGTCTGTATTATCAATACAGATGCATAAATATACATCCCTAACTTTTCAGAGACCCATCACACTTTAATATTTTTGAATATTGAATTTTCCCACAAACTGGGGATATAATTTTTGTCTCTCCCTTTTCATACATACTAGCCTCCCTATATATCCCAGATCCTCATAAATTATTAAGTAACAATTATTTTCTGTAAATATAATTAATGTTTGTATATAAATACTTGGAAGAGTTCCCAGAATTTTTAAACAGGTACAGAACATTTAGTTACAATTGTGCACTTTCTGTCACTACTTAGCACAGAGTGAAGAGCTTTGCAAAGCACAGATAATCAAGATAGAACGTAAATGCAGGGTTTTCCTTTCTAGAAAAATCTTGTTGAATTGAGGAAGGATTAAATCAAACAAGCCATAGAGAAAGTACTGCAAGAACCTGTAAAATATGATAGAGCATATTTTGCCATTAATTACATAATTCATTTGCTAATCATGCTGGTCCTACTCAACCAGGCATGTCAATTGGTAACTGCTATTAATTGTTGAAAGTTATTCTGAGATGTGGATTTTTGTTCCTCATCTCTGGTGTACCCGTAATGAGACCTGCACTGGGTATATGGACTTGAGGAGTCTAGAGGAGTGACACACTTCAAGGCAAAATCCTTAATTGTACTTCTGTATCACCCTTTAGATATTGTTCCAGTTTGAGAGCTGAGTCTCATGAAAAGTCCTCATCTCTAATTTGTCTGATCACTTTATCTCCCACATAGGGCTTTTCTCATAAATCTGTGACATAACATCCTTGTCATATTTGATAGATGACCTGAACATGTCAAACTAATTTAAGTGATAAATCTTAACACAAATGTAGCTAAGGAGAGTCACACACGTGAAGGAATAAAAATGTCACTAGGATATGGTAAGTATGTTACATTTAAATGAGAAGTCATTACAACAATTAAAGAAGCCCATATCAATCTGGAAGATACTGCTTTCTCTTAGACTGCAGTTGTTATGAAACTGGATACCGAGTTTGAAACTGAATTGAACAACTGTGGACTTTTTTCAGCTTCTGTATTTTTAATATAATTTTGTAAGATGCTTCTTTACTTGTGGTAGGAAACACAGTTACTGAATAACCCCATTACAGTTGTGGATTCCCAAAGTCTTCATACTGAAGGAGAATTTTTGGATGCTTCTTTTTTAAAGTTACTCTTAAATTTTTAGGGCATGTACACACTTCTGCCTTCTCTGGATTCTTTGCTCTAGGAAAATTAGCAAACAAACCAAATTATGTAACTGTCCTGTAAAATTAATTTTCTTTGCTTTCCATAGATATAACATGAAGGAATCACTTGGGCTTAGTAAGAACCAAATACCTGTTTCCTCAGTTGTACATAACAATCAAGCTGGGGTTACCATTGGCTGTGACCTGTACATCTGGGTCTCCTTCTGTTGGAAGGGACTCTGCCCAAAAAACTCCATACTGCTTACTCCTTTTCGATATTACAGAAGGGTTTGGTGTTGGTTCGTTTTGTTTTGTTTTTTAATACCACCCCATGTTCATTACTTTTGTAAGCTACAGACCATTACAGGTCAGAAGTTCCCTCTGAAAGGCTCCCCCACAGTTTTTCCCTTGGGGACTCCCAAGGGCTCCATCAGCTCCTGAAATGCTCCCAGAGCCACTGGGTTAGTCAGTGGCTTCTGCTTTGGAATGCCCTTCCAAACCAGAGCTCCAAAAATGGATACTGTGTCTTTTCACTTAAATACTGGCTTTCCTTCTGCCAAATCAGAAGGAGGCCATTTATTTCTTATGTGGCTGTCCCAAATCTCCACTGCTGCCTTTTGTACCCACTAAGAAGTTTTCTTCCACATGCAGTTGACAGCTGGGTGTCATAAAACCTTAAACTTTGATAATTCAAATAAACTTCTTGTTTATGATTTCATTAATAATTACTCCATGTCTATATATAGTTAAAAAAAATTGTTTTGTAAAACTAGAGATAATTTATGACTACTAGTGGTTTCAGAAAGGGATGGTGTTGCAATTGTTTTTTCTGTCTTAGTAAATATATAGGTTTAATAGGCATTGTTGGGCTCTGTATCAGATTATGAACTTCAGTTTTCATTACTCAATAAAACCACTGCCTTTCACTCAATACTTGTGCCATTAGCTACTAAATGCCATTAGTCTCTTCGTGTATCTTTTGATATATCAAACAAGTCAGTCTTCCTCAAACAACTAGACATTTAAAAACCTTCAAAAGTTTTCTTCTCAACAAGTACTTCTCCAAAACCCCATTGCTGATGGCTCCTGTTTCAGTAATCCTCTGAAGTTTGGGGATTTTTACTAAATTCCTGGATTACAATGCCAATATATAAGATGGGATGTCTTGTACTCCTTACATAAGGCAGCCATCTAGACATAGTGGAGGTCAGACAGTTGTTTTTACTGAATGCTGTACGTAAGGCCTCCCTAGATGTGCAATTCATCAGGTATCTATAGTAGGAAGAGTGGAGAGAGGGTACACTGGAGGATACCAGCTGTGGAGTGTGTCTGGATTCAGCTCTGTACCCCACCACTCTGCCTGGGTCCTGATGCCTTCTGAAATGCATAAGGCATGAGAGTGACTAAAGGACTCTTGTTTTCTTAATTATAGGAGGAAAAATGGGACCAAGCAGTTAATGTTGCTAATTTATTGATGCTCAGTATTCAATGCTTGGTCCTAAAACCACTTTGTCCTACTTAAACCTGAGGTTACCATGTGAAAAAAGATCATGTGGAAGTCTGAAAATTTATTACTTAGGTTACACAGACAAAAATTGGAATCAAAAGCAAGCCCTTTCTTATATGGAAGTTGAACAATTTTTAAAGACACATAATAATAAATCAATGTTTGTGCTCGAAAAATCAGTCATCAGGCTCTCTTATTTCATCAGTCGATACTATTTTTAGGAAGAATTTTTCCTTTTGCTAAACTCTGAGTTGATTAATGTGATGTTGTGTGTGGGAATGTGCTTGCCTTTCCTGCAGATGAGAAAACAGTATGGGGAGAAATATACAGTAGTGGAGAGGTGAAGAAACCTGTTTTTCTGCTATTGTTAGGAGATTTCATGTCTGAAGTGGAACATGCCTCCCATTCAGAGGTGCTTGAAGCTGGAAGTCAGCCATATACCTATTGCTCTAGATGTTGCCGTGCTTCCTCATTTTGGAAGGGTATTTGACCAAATACATTTTTGCCATCAGACATTCATTGGAGGACCCATCTCCTTTCCTCATGTCTGTGCAGGAGGCAGTAGAATCAGGAAGGGCCAAGAGAGAGATAGGATAGGAGGAATGTGATAGGGGAAAGAAAATAGGAAAAGGCAATAAACCCTAAGCCCTCCAAAACAGGGTGGGCTGCAGAGCAGGTTACTTGCCTTTGAGGATCAGACGCAGCCTGTTGGCTCTCAGTTGTGCATTTCCATGTCAAGGTTATTCAGAATACATTTTTGGCAGGTGTGTAAGAATCTCAGTCTCTTGCCAGGAATTTGACTAAAAGCTATGGGAGACTAGCAGCACTCAGATGATTTTCTTTTGTCCTACTACAACTTCAGAGGCTTTCTGACAGAGTTACAGCAGAACCCACATTAAATTGACTTAATGACATAAACTAAATTCAGCTGCTATCCATTTCTTCCTTTATCACTCTTCTTTCTTTGAACCCAATTTGAGGGTAAAAAAAAAAAAATCACATGCTGCGAAATAGACATGTATGCTCTACTGGCCTCACCCATGTAACATATCTGTATCTCTTTCTGAAAGTGTTGCAGTACATTGTAAAAAGTAAAAATTGCTTTCTTGGCTTTTCAATTTCCCAATTGATTTGTCTTCTTAGTAATCCTGGCAGTCCTGGTCTTCTCAAAACACAATACAATTTATTTACTGCAAAGTAATTTTCATGGAAATTATGAGATTCCATTTTTAAATTGAAAAGCAGGAGTTTGCTTGGTTGAATTTCTGTAACTGAAATATCTAAGAAAACACAAAAGATATTCTAATTATTATCCTGAAATTTTGTATAATTCAACAACAAAAACTCTTCAGTTGTCATTCAACTATTCCAATGATACAGAAATGTGTGAAGTTATCCAAACAGCTGTAAAAGGAAACAAGGTCCTCAAGGTTATCCAAACTGAAATCCTTTTATTTATTATTTTAAAACAGATGAATTTATAATGAAATTTAAAGATTCTCTCTTTATTTTATAGTCAGAAAAAAAAGGCACTGTTTAAATAATGTCAAGGTTGAGTGCCAAAATAATTGAAGCTAGCAAATGTGAAATAAAGCCAACACTCTCATATCTCACAGTGGTATTAAAAAGGAAAGCTGAAGTACATCATGGAACAGGGAGAAGCAACAGTCAAAACATGGTAAATAAAGTAGAGTAATATTCAGGGGAAAATGAAGCAATAAGTAAAAAATAGCAAAATCAATTTGGTCTTTTAAAAAATGTCTTCACTAGGAAAGTCAATGAAGGGGAAAAGAAGCCATGGGAGATGAGGCTAATTCCAATTTTATGTATTAAAATATCTTTCACTAAAGGTAAAAACGAAAGGCGTGGTGCTGCCCCATTGTACACAACACTCTCCAATATTCATTTTATAAATGTAGGTACTTCACTGGAAATTTCCTTCCTCCATGATATATGAAGATGTGCAATTATAGGAGATCAACCATGAACATTCATAGTGGAGCAAAACCTTCTGAAGTGGATGTATATTCATGTATATCTGATACAAGACATCATATCCTGGATTTCATACCTGACTTCTCTTATGGCTAAGATACTATAAAATTATTTATTTAAATCTTCTGGTAGAGGCCTCAGTTTCTGACAGTGACTTCTCACTTCTGTAGTTGGTAGATGTCTATGTCCCAGTCCAGTCCTGAACAATATACTGCCATAAAGCCCTTGCAGAGGCCCAGATTAAGTTTTCAATCACGTTTACTTAGTGTACTATTCAGTCAGTGTGAGTTCACTTCAGTCACTGGGCAAAGAATCTATGTGCCTTTCAAAGTACAGATGGCTTATCTATAGTTCAACTTTCTGACATGGACAGGACTTGGTTGGGTGTGGCAGGCTGTGGTCAATGGGTTTGATCATCATCCATGCAAACTTGCACACGTGTTGCTTGTTACAGTCCTTTTGCCAGTAAATCACATTCCTACGATTTAGATTTGCTCCAGCACACGCGTCATACCACCAGCCTCCTCCAGGAACACCATTGTGTTCCAGTTTAGCACAGTTCTGAAAGTAATTGTCATTGTCTCTGTCCTTGGTGGTGAACTTCTGGTTGTCATGGAGATAAGCTTCTGTGTCCAGGGTCAGAGCATCTGTGGCGTTGCCTTTGTGTAGACCGACCCTGATTCGGTATTGAGACTCTTCATCTTCAATAAGGAAAGGTTCATACTGTCCCCATTTGATTTCAGCGTTTAGGTTTACAAGTTTCACTCCAAGTATATATTGCGTGGAGCTGCTAGTTAACTGATGCATATATTCATTTCCTAACCAGTGGTTGTCATGAACGGAGCCAAATCCATATTTATAATCCTGCCAGGTCCTATCAAAGTCGACAGTACTGTTGGCTGTAATGTGCTGGATTACTGTCCAGCCACCATCCTGCATGTTACAAGAGACAACAATTGGGTCATCCTTTGGTTGGATAATGTAAAGACCATCTCTGGAATTTCCTTTGGAGCGCTGAAAAATCTCAAAACAGTCTCTTGGATAGTCTGAGTAGGAAAAAAAAAAAGTTTTAAAGTAAATTTCTGTTCAAACAGTAACTTTTAGATATTGAACTCTGTCCTCTAGAGTGAGTGAGTGGCTGCCTTCTGGCTGGAAGCTGACTGATTTCATCCCAGCTGGTGGGCACCTACTCAGCTAAAGGGGGAAGATTTCAGGGCAGGACATGCAGGAAATGTTCAGAAATTCAAAAAAAGGATTTGTTACCCTGTCATACAACAGAAATGTGCATTATGCTGCATTTATGACAGAAATATGGTTGAAAAGCTAAAAGTTACATACAGACTATTCCTTTTCCTCCTGGGTTCTTCCCATTTGAGTAGTCTGCAAGTTTGCATTTTCCTGTGCCATGTGTTGGACCATTGTGTTCAATTACTAGAGCTAGCCTTACACTCAACAAATAAATCTAATTTCTCTTTAACCAATTTATACTTCAGGCATCTGTAACATCCTTGCATTAAATTCCGGTAAGTCTGCCATCTGTTTATTGACAAAAGGGAGATATTAAAGCTTATTCCTTGCTAGTACAAAACTTATAAACATATGAGGATTTTCTTAGAAACAGTTCTTGTCACTCATAAACTCCAGGCTAAATCTTACCACTGATTTGACAGTGCTGTGCAGTGCTGAACACCATTACCAGGAAAATAGGTGTGAAAGTGCTTTCCCACTTTATTGCTTATCTGCTAGACTCAGAAGGTAATAGAAGTGGCACATAAGGCTTGGGATGACCTTCTCTACTGTGCCGAAACGTATACAGTTGTGTTTTTTAAATGTAACTTGCTTAGAAGGTAACTTCTTGCAATAGTTTAGTATCAAGCAGCTCTGAGACTAAGGCACAATGCTCTGCTTTTTACAATTGACTGTGAGATTTCTAAGTGCCAGAATATAATTTATTTAAATATACATTTATGTATGTATGTGTGAATTCATATATAGAGCATTCCTTTTGTAGAGAAGGATGTTATTCAGTGTCTGATCCGTTACTCAGGATCATGTTTATGAATTGAAATCACTCACTTCTCCACAGAGTTGAAAGGCATGTCATTACGTCATTATACTGTGGAATATTTGTAATTTATTTTTAATAAAAAATTGTCAATTTTAATATCCCTATGAGAAAAATTCCAACAGACCACTTGTGATCTAAAGTTAAGTTCTTCAGATGTATGAAAGCCTCTGTTCTGTCCTGACCATGGCTGATAGGAATTTAGATACTGCATTTATAGCTTTTTTTTTTTCTTCTGGGAAACTGGGATAATTCTGGAAAAGTATGACAAAATGTCCTAATTGTTTTTTCAAAAATTTGTCAAAGAAACAACTAAGGAGAAATATTTCCAAAGATAAACATTTGAAATAATAGCTCAGAAAGATACTCTTCTCTTTGCCCAAATCATTGACTCTGCTGATCCTTTTACTGAACACATTGTTCTTCTGTTCAGGAAAAGAAAAACAAAGTGTGAAAAGTGCCAATCTCATTGTATCGTTTTGTGACCAATAGATAAAAGTACACTGAACAGCTTGTTCAGTGTGAAAAAAAAAAAAAAAAAAAAGCCCCCAACTTTCTGGAAAGAGAACAGGACCATGAGTGAGTGTTCTATCTACTACTGGTCCTGTAGGGAATTACATCACACTGTCTTCTTCACAGAAATATTAAATTTCTTCTTTTATGACTGAAAAGCATTGTAGAGTAACTGTCACTACTCTGTTAGAAATACTCATCTGGTTCCCCATCTAATTTTATTAATTTCCACTTTCGATCTTTTTCCTTCTTGTATTATGTTGTCCTTTAGTTACATAGTGCTTCTTCGTTGGTAATAAGCCCCAGTGTACCATGAGGACAACTACATTTTTAATTGGCCTTTGTTTTGTTAGGGTAAATTCTGTTAGGATAAATAAGTTCTTTTATTATTTAGTGTAAGATAAATCTTCTGTTCCTTAATTGTTTTAGTGCAAGGTGTTTTAGCACCTCTTCACTGCAAATTAATCTCCTATAATGGGGGTAAAATTTGCACACAGTATTGCAGATGGCCTTATATAGTGGCACTGATTCTTCCCAAGTCTTATTATCTGTTAATCTCTGTTTATATATTGTCGGACTGCCTTTGTCTTTGAATCTTTGTAACTGGTAAGGTCCTCACCTTGCAGTAAAACCTAGAATCTTGTACTTTACTTTTCATTGCAATGGTATTACTCAAGAACATCTGATTTTTTTTCTGTGTAATATTCTGATTCTTTGCATTGGCATTTCTCTGCTTCATTGTATAATTCAGTTTTATCAGCATATTCCTACTTTTGCGTCAGTATACTTAATAACAATACCGAAAAGATCACTTACAAACAAATACTTCCAGTCTCCCCTTGATTTTATGCTTTACTTTTCTACCCAAGTCATTGTCATTTTCTTTTTAATCTCTACTGAAATTATATGTAACCCTACCTTCTCTGATTTAATATTGTATTAAGTATTGTATCCTGGGCTTAGTAGAAGTGCAGATGGACTAAACCTGTTAAATAGCATTATTCATAGTATCAGTATTGTGTTAAATACTGTGTTAAATATTAGGCCCTTCATTGCTTAATAGAATCTAAAGCCATGAATAGAATACTTTAAATTGCAATACTATCTGCATGACATTATTAAATATCCTAAAAGAGAAGAACTGTATACTCTCTACCCGAGCTGTTAGAACATTCACCTGGTAGACACATCCTGATGCCAAACCTGATCCTGTGATCTTACTGAATTATTAGTTAAGTACATATTAGAAAAAATTTCTTCACTGAAAGAGTGATCAGGCATCGGAACAGGGTGCCCAGGGAAGTGGTGGAGTCACCATCCCCGGAGGTGTTCAAGAAACGTGTAGATGTGGTGCTTAGGGACATGGTTTAGTGAGTTAGGTGGTGTTGGGTTGGACTTGATGATCCTTGAGGTCTTTTCCAACCTTAATGATTCAATGATTCTATGATTCTACATAGTGATGTCAAGCCAGCAATATATACAGCAACACTTGTATTTGCCCTTCTCTGAATAGTAGTCATGCACAACAAAACAACTTATAGACAGTTAATGAGAAAATCATTTAGGCTGATTATTACAGGATTCACTTGGAAAGTGAATTTTATAAACTCTCCATGCCATTAGTCAGAGGAGGAAAACGAATCAGTCCCACTTTATGTGGGATCTACTGTGGTGAATGTATTAGAAAACTTACCAAGCTGGGCCTTGCAAGCTGGATAGGCAAAGGAATGCCTCAGCTATAGATATCAATGAGATTTAGGTGCTGAGGTGTCAGATGTAGTCTAGATATGATTGTCCTAAGAATAAGTCTTCAAATGCCACAAAGTTTTGTTTTGGTTTGGTTTTTTTTACAAAAAAAATTAACTTTTAATTTATCTTGAATTAGGTGGCAGCTGAGCAAAGATTTTAAATATTTTGGACTTAAGGGCAGGACATGCTCATATTGCAAATTATTTTTGCAAGGCTAATTTTCAAATATGTTGGCTGAAAAAGTTATAGCAAAGCAATAAAGTAAAAACAAGCATGCATCCAAATCACTCACTGTCTTCTTGAGTACCTTTTCCATTGGTGTTAGCCAGTCTCTCATAGCCTCTTTGGGGGAGAAGGTGGGCATTAGCCAAGACCACTGCCTCTTTGGTGCTCACTGACACAGTGCAATGAGAGAGCAAGAACAGCATCAATCCCACTGAACTTGTGCACAGCATCTTCTTTCCAAGTCAGTCTTGCAGCAGTACAGAGCTGTAACACAGACTGGAATTGGGAATGGAAAGATTAATGACTTTTAGTATGAAAATCCCATAAGAGGAAATACCTAGCTTCAATATAGTGAGCCTCTGCCACAGTTGGCTTCTCCCATTGTTCAAGAACATCTCCTTTTCCTGATGCGTCACACCCTCTTTCTGTCTGGTCCTTCCTGTGACATGGAGCACTGTGCTGACACACTTACAACGTGTCTCACCTCTGTCATCTTGTGCAATGCTGGGCAATGAATCACAACATAATTTTGCATGTGACAAGAAGCAACAGAAAATTATGTAATTACAAAAGTCAAAGCACATCTTATATTTATCAGAATTGAATTTTGCTTATTCCATGAGTCCAAACTGTAGTGAAATAGAGGAACCAATGGTTGGACTGGCAGAAACAGTAACACTGGCTCTGGTGACTGTCTATAGTTCAAAGAGTACTCAAACACTGGGTTTTCCAAGTGCTGGAAATGTTTCCATGCACTGAAGAACTCACTTCAGCGTATCTGGACTACGCTTTGTATGAATTTCCATCTACAGCTTTAAATAACAGGTCACAGGTTTAAATTAGATTAAAAAAAACCCCAAACTCAATAAACAAAGGAAAAAGAACTTTTCTCCAGCCTCTTCAAAACCCACAAGGGTTTAATATATTGAATCAAAACAGTTTTGAGCCTCATTTTGCCTCCTTTTGGGGCTACATGTGTAGTACCTCCACCCAACACAGGAGGAAGGCTTAGGCTATTACTGTATTAAATCCTGGGGTCCTCACTTCGCCAAATCCCAGTTTGACTGAACAGGAATTTCTATGTCAATGGCAGCTTAGACTGACTCAGGATAACAAATGTTTCCCATGCCCTCAAAGGACACATTTACTTAGACTCTAGCCAAACTCTCACTCTCTTTTATTTTTTTTTAAGGACTGAGCTCCCCACAGTGGCTTTGATGAAGGCAGAAAATAGATGTAGCAAGCAGCTCTTCAGTCAGAGCTTTTTTTCCTGCCAGCGTCAGCACAGTCCAGAGAGGCCAGTACCCCTCTCCACAATGGTTTATGTTGCAACAGAGCCACATTCCTTATAAATCTAATGACTTAGCAGCAGATTCAGCAGTTTTACGGAGTGAAAAAAAATGTTCAGCACATTTTTAAAAAAATGTCCAAGATAAATCATTGTAATATAGTTCAGGTTTGAGAATTAATTTTTATACCTACCGTACAGAAAAC